TGCTGTAGTATGCTCCTTTGTCTCAGGACTGGGATAGAGAGGGAAGGTTTCATTCAGGAAATGGATCAGGAGATGGTACTTTAATTAGAGTCATGATAATTGCATATAATGCAGCTTGTACAATGGACTGTCCTGGTTAGGAAGAAGAAGGGTGGAGGGAGGGGCTCTCAATCACCTGGGGAACAGTCATTTCAGGGCGAAATAAATAATTTGGGAGTATGTGATTAAAGTAATCTGCAGGGTTTGAGAAAAAAAATCTGATTCAGAGTGTTTCTAGTTGAGCACAAATTCCACATTGCTCTACGCGACTGCTCTATGTGCATGTTAGAAAGTGAAGATGGGCAATGGTGCCACCAATGTTGTAAAACACGGATGCGTTCTCTATTACTGGCCATGCCCATCTTTGTCTTTCCCCCTGCTGCCTTTCCCTGGCCTGTCGCTCTGCTCTCTTCCAGCCTGTTTTTCTCTGGTGCATGGAGCTGCTACAGGCAAGATAAGGCTGGTCTCCCCGAGTTAGGGCTTAGCATAATCCCTCTTCCTTCCTCATAAAAAAAAGGGTAAAAAAAAAAAAACTGTGTTCATCACACAGTTGAAGAAAGGAGGAGGAATTGATGGAGAAAGAGAGAGTAGGCAGCAGTGGAGGAAGTGAAATGGGTAAAGAGGGAGGGAGAAAGCGGGAGACGTGGAAAGAGGGAATGTGGTAAGACTGCTGCCGCATATTTAGTAGAATTTCACCAGCCATGAAAGATGTATAAAGGAATGTGTGCAGCCCCAGTGGCATCAGAGAAAAGAGGACGAATAGTTCTGCGTTCCCGATGATCAGAGGATGAGCTAATCCTTTGACAAGGGGGTCTGGGGAAACCCAATCCCAATGCCCAAAAGCCTGACATGCCTAGAGCTGGCATCCCAACTCCAGCGGCAGGATTCAGACAATGCGTCTGCGAGCTGGTGCCGTCTACTGCCAGAGAATAAGCTGGCACGTGCACAGCAGCTTGGAGATGGGTACAGACAGAGCTGCTCTCCACCTACACAAAACACAAGACGAATGATTGTGAAAATGGATAAAACAGCTCAGGAAACGTACTTTGAATGCTCGGATGGTTGTGTTGAGAAACAGAAGGATAGGATGGTATCACTCACATCAGACCTGCAGGATGAATTAAATAAAGAGACTGTGCAAGAAAAACAGTTTGTGTGTTTTCTGTGGTGTATATTGACATTACACCAACAATATGAGGAATATACAGGATGATGGGAGGTAAATACGGTGCAAAACAAAAAGTGCTTTTGCTGTCAAAATGATGAATTAGTACAGTACTGTCTTGACGTGAAATTACAGGCCTGAAAACAAATAAAAACTTTCAAGGTTTTCATCTTTTTTCACTGTTTTGCTTTCCCACAAACCCTTTCACTCTCCAGCAAAATACTCAAAATCAATCATGAGAATTAAAGAAAATACGATGAGTTCTGGCAGGTTCGACCGGTTGTGAGGAGTTCCTGCAAATGTCTGAAGCCGTGATGTATTCCAGGAGCTAAAACGTGATAATGAATGGGAAAATATCCCTTCAATGGATTTGACACTTAGCTGATAGCCTGTGATCGAAACAGCGGTAAAGCCGTCATTGCTTGGTAACGCAACACCAAGACTGCGTCGGTGCCACAGGGTCCGGTGCTCGGTAAATGACCAAAGAAATATGCACGATGTCAGCACTGTCTTATTGACCTGATAATGTTTTGGTGACTGACAGCTATATAGGATTTTGACATTTTTACCGCCCCAGCCACTCCTGCTTTGAGACTCAATGAGTTCTTTGTTGTGAAGCTAACTGAAGACAAGCAGGAGGATCTGGCTGGAAACGAAGTCAGGGGAAAAAAAGGAAAACTTGCCATAAGATTTGATGATGCTTTGTTTTCACATTTTAAAAAAAGGCTTTTATTTCATCCTTCTATGTTTTGACAGCACAAAATCCCATTATGTCAAAACCACAAAAACAAAGGGCTTTGTGGGTTACTATGTTAAAAAAAATAAATGGCTGGGTTCATTTTAGTGAAGCTTAAAAGGAGCGAGAAAACAGAAAATGGGATGAATTGGATAACTTTGCAGTGCATCATAGCGTTAATCGTTTTGCAAAATGGAACCCTAAATTAAATTCAGATGAGATGAATGTTTTAATCAATCGGCAATCTGGGGCTGACATGAGATTGATTGAGAATGTTTCATTATCAACAAACAATTTCCACTGTCTGGAGCCCTATGCTGATTTCCATTTATGGCAAACCGTGGAAGTTGTTGACAATTAACCAGTCTGACGATGCGGCTATTCATCATGTCATGCTGTTTGTTTTATTTTTCAGCTGAAGTATGTGGCATGGGTTTTGAGAACGCGCGTGTGGCATGTGAGAGCATAAACAAGTGCCAGGCTGAATGTGCATGAGTTTGTGTTTGCAGTGAAAAGAAGGCTGCAGATGAAAGGATTTCTAACAGCGTTCGGGCAGGGGGGAAAGATTGAAGGGTTAATGAAACACTGAATTTATAGGTGGCTTTAATGA